GTATTTCCTACCTTTGGCAATTCCTTGGATGTGGTTTTTCCATGGTATTCCCTTCATTTTGCAATTCCTTGGATTTGGTTTTCCATAGTTTTCCCTGCATTTGGCAGTTCCTCGGATGTGTTTTTTCCTTGGTATTCCCTGCATTTTGGAATTCCTTGGATGTGGTTTTTCCATGGTATTCCCTACATTTGACAATTCCTTGGGTTTGGTTTTCCACAGTATTCCCTACCTTTGTCAATTCCTGGGATGTGATTTTCCAGTGTCCCTTCCACTTGACAATTCCTCGGATGTGATTTTCCACAGTGTCCCCGCCCTCGGCAATTCCTGGGATTTGGTTTTCAAAAGTATTCCCTGAATGTGGCAATTCTTGGGACGTGCTTTTTCCGTGGTATTCCCTGCATTTGGCAATTCCTGGGATGTGGTTTTCCGTAGTGCCCCCTCCTCATTTAGGGAAAAATGGAGGAGAGCTGGATCCAAGGACTGGATGTCCCAGTGTCGCCCCTGATCCAGCAGCCACGCCCAGGGCATTCCAGAGGGAAGATCCCGCTTTCCCACTGGATTTCCTGCTCAGCTGGATACCACATTCCCAGGACAAGCGCCCCTATTCCGTGTCCTGGGGCATTCCAGGCCCAGGGATGGTGCTCAGAGCTTCCCAAATATCCCTGTGTCACCTCCCAGCCATTCCCAGAAATCTCAGAAAGGCAGGGCTGGGGGTTTTTTTGGGATCTTCCTGCTGCTCCCAGAAAGCAGGACAGGGAGTGCTGGATCCAGGTCTGGGATCCTCAGGACAAGAGGGCCATGGAGCTCCGGGAGCAGATCCTGGAGGGATGGGAAGATGAGGAAGGGACAAGACATGGAATTGTTGGAGCAAGTCCAGAGGAGGAACCAGGACAATCCAAGGCTGGGAGAGTTGGGATTGCCCAGCCTGCAGAAGGGAAAAAGGGAAAGATCTGGGGTGACCCAACTGTGACCTTCCAGGACCTGCAGGAGCTCCAGGAATGGCTCCCAGTGCCAGAGGGCAGCCAGGGATGGGATCTTGGCCATGAGGAATTCCTGGCTGGGCTGGAATTGCCAGAGCAGCTGGGGCTGCCCCTGAATCCCTGGAATGTCCAAGGAAAAGCTGGAGCAGCCTGGGACAGTGGGAGGTGTTCCTGCCCATGGAATGGGATGGAATTGGGATGGGATTTGAGGTCCTTTCCCACCCACACCATTCCATGATTTTTCTGTGGAAAGAACATCCAGTCTCTGGAAGCTGTGGAATCTCCTTCCCTGAAGGTATTCCCGATCCAGCCGGACACATCCCTGGGGAACATTCCCAACGTCATCCCCAATGGATCCTCCCCCATTCCATGGTGGCTCCAAGCTCCCTTTTCCAGGGAGCCCTGCTCAGATTCAGGGAGCAATTCCAGGACCTGGGAGCGGAGCTGCTGCCGAGGTCACATCCAGGATGACTCAGCCACTCCTTCTGGGAATGGCTGGAAAACCAAGGGATGATCTGGGAATGATCCCGCGGCTGTGGCTCAGCTGCTGCCACAGGGAGCTGCTCCAGGCCAGGAATGCTGGGTGGGAATGAACATGGAATTCCTGGGATGTGCTTTTCCGTAGTGTCCCTTCTGCTTGGCAATTCCTTGGATGTGGTTTTCCATGGTGTTCCCTGCATTTGGCAATTCCTTGGATGTGGTTTTCCATGGTGTTCCCTGCATTTGGCAATTCCTTGGATGTGGTTTTCCATAGTATTCCCTGAATGTGGAATTCCTTGGATGTGGTTTTCCGTAGTGCCCCTACCCCTGGCAATTCCTGGGATTTGGTTTTCCATAGTATTTCCTACCTTTGGCAATTCCTTGGATGTGGTTTTTCCATGGTATTCCCTTCATTTTGCAATTCCTTGGATTTGGTTTTCCATAGTTTTCCCTGCATTTGGCAGTTCCTCGGATGTGTTTTTTCCTTGGTATTCCCTGCATTTTGGAATTCCTTGGATGTGGTTTTTCCATGGTATTCCCTACATTTGACAATTCCTTGGATTTGGTTTTCCACAGTATTCCCTACCTTTGTCAATTCCTGGGATGTGATTTTCCGGTGTCCCTTCCACTTGACAATTCCTCGGATGTGATTTTCCACAGTGTCCCCGCCCTCGGCAATTCCTGGGATTTGGTTTTCAAAAGTATTCCCTGAATGTGGCAATTCTTGGGACGTGCTTTTTCCGTGGTATTCCCTGCATTTGGCAATTCCTGGGATGTGGTTTTCCGTAGTGCCCCCTCCTCATTTAGGGAAAAATGGAGGAGAGCTGGATCCAAGGACTGGATGTCCCAGTGTCGCCCCTGATCCAGCAGCCACGCCCAGGGCATTCCAGAGGGAAGATCCCGCTTTCCCACTGGATTTCCTGCTCAGCTGGATACCACATTCCCAGGACAAGCGCCCCTATTCCGTGTCCTGGGGCATTCCAGGCCCAGGGATGGTGCTCAGAGCTTCCCAAATATCCCTGTGTCACCTCCCAGCCATTCCCAGAAATCTCAGAAAGGCAGGGCTGGGGGTTTTTTTGGGATCTTCCTGCTGCTCCCAGAACATTCCACGGCTCCATCTAGTGCAGGATCCCAGATTCCCAAGGAAAAAAGGGCAAGGACGAGATCATTCTCCCAAATTCCCCCTGCTGGCCTCGGCTCCAGGATTTTAAAAAAGCTTGGGAAAGGCACATTTTCCATGGCTTTGTCCAGGCTCCCTTTGAACCCGTTCTGTGCTGCCGGTTCTTTATTCCCACGGCACATCCCCAATTCCCAAAAATAGCCCAGTTTCCAGCACGACCAACAGCATGGGATGGAATTTCAGTGCCAAATTCCTCCCTTTTGTCCCCATTGGATTCTGCCTCGGGTGGAATCGCTGACGGATTCCGGGCGGAGCTGCCAGAGCCTCTCGGTGCCACTGGAAGAGCGTTTTCCATAAAGGAAAATTCGCTCCAGAGGCCAAAAATAAAAAAAGCCCAAATCCTCTCCGGAGCCATTTGAAAGCTTGGGAAGAGCAGAGCAGGGATTGGGAAGCAGGAGTTTTCCCTAAGGACAGGTGAGCACGGCAGATCCGGGCTTGGGAATGAGGCTGGAGCTGGGGATGGAGGGAGGGAGGGAGGGAAGGAATTGTGGCGTGAATGGATTTTCGGATCACGGAATGGCTCGGGTTGGGAAGGCCCTTAATCATCCCAATCCACCCCTGATTTGTTCCTGCTTTTCCTTCCAAATCCTCGCAGTGTCTCCGAGTTTTCCCTGAAAAAGCAGGAATTCCTGCTAGACCCTGCTGGGCTCAGTCTGGCACTCGGGAACAGATGTCACCCCTCGGGAAAGCGGGAAGTGTGACGGGAGCCGCGCCCGTGCCGGTGGCACTCGGATGTCTGGCACGTTGGCGGTGGCGGCGCTTCCGTCACCGGAGCTGCTCGGGAAGGGGTGGGAACAACTCCCAGGGGAGCTGATCCCACGGGAACGTGGCTGTGGGGAGGGGAGGCTCTCATGGAATCGTGGAATGGTTGGGATTGCTGTGAGCTCAAAGCTCATCCCATTCCCAGCCTTTCCATGGGACACCTTCCACTATCCCAGGTTGCTCCAACCCGGCCTTGGGCGCTTCCAGGGATCCGGGGGCAGCCACGGCTTTCCTGGGAATTCTGGCTGGTTCCTCCAGTCTCGGAGCTTCCACTGGAAGTTGCTCCAAGCCTTTTCCAGTGAGGCTTGGAAAGAGGAAAAGTCTCAGGAGCAAAGTGGGGTGGGAGGAACAATCCCCGCCACTTCCCAGTTTGTCCCGGTTTGTCCCAGTCTGGGAATTCTCTGGGAATGTCCTTTTCACTGCTCTCCTTGTTTTCCAAGGGAAGACAAGAAACTCATCCCTGGTTCCATAGTTTTCCTTGTTTTCCAGAGACAACAAATTCATCCCTGACTTCACTTCTGTCCTTGTTTTCCTTGGGAAGACAAGAAATTCATCCCAGATTCCATAGTTTTCCTTGTTTTCCAGGTGGAAGATGAGGAACTCATCCTGACTTTTTTCTTTTCCTTGTTTTCCATGTGCAGACCAGAAACTAATCCCTGATTCCATTTCTCTCCTTGTTTTCCAGGTGGAAGATGGGAAACTTCTCCCTGACTCCACTCTTTTCCTCGTTTTCCAGGTGGGAGACCAGAATCTCATCCCTGACTTTGCTCTTTTCCATGTTTTCCAGGTGGAGACAACAAATTCATCCCTGGCTCCATTTCTCTCCTTGTTTTCCCAGTGGAGACAAGGAGCTCATCCCTGACTCTGCTGTTTTCTGTGGAAAGACAAGAAACTCATCCCTGATTCCATTGTTTTCCTTGTTTTCCAAGTGGAGACCAAAAATCCCATCCCTGACTTTAGTTCTCCTTGTTTTCCAGGGAAAGACAAGAAACTTCTCCCTGATTCCATTCTTTTCCTTGTTTTCCAGGTGGAGAACAGAAACTCAGCCCTGACTTTGCCCTTTTCCTTGTTTTCCGTGTGGAGATGTGAAGCTTCTCCTTGACTCCAGTTCTCTCCTTCTTTTCCAAAGAATTCATCCCTGACTTTGTTCTTTTCCTTCTTCCAGGGGAAGACGAGAAACTCCTCCCCTGACTTTACTTCTCATTTTCCAGCTGGACACCAGAAACTCATCCCTGATTCCATTGTTTCCCTTGCTTTCCAGATGGAGACCAAAAACTCATCCCTGTCTTTAGTTCTCCTTGTTTTCCAGGGAAAGACAAGAAACTTCTCCCTGATTCCATTATTTTCCTCGTTTTCCAGGCGGAGACCAGAAACTCATCCCCTCTCCCCTGTTTTCCTTGGGAAGACAAGAAACTCATTCCTGATTTCATCGTTTCCCTTGTTTTCCAGACGGAGACCAAAATCTCATCCCTGACTTTAGTTCTCCTCCTTTTCCAGGTGGAAGATGGGAAACTTCTCCCTGACTCCACTCTTTTCCTCGTTTTCCAGCCGGAGACCAGAATCTCACCCCCGACTCCCCCGTTCTCCTTGTTTTCCAGGAGAAGACGAGAAACTGGCCGCGTCCTTGCTGGACGGGAAATTCCCGCGGAGCACCTCCATGACGGACACGGTCCGGGAAGGCCACGGGATCCCCCCTCCCCCGCAGACCGCCCCTACCGCCCCTCCCCCGCCCCCCTCCCCCTATTACTTCGACACCGGCCCCCCTCCGTCCTTCTCGCCGCCGCCGCCGCCGGGCCGCGCCTACGACACCATCAGGTCCAGCTTTAAGCCGGGCTTAGAAGCCAAACTGCACGGGCTGCCGCAGGTGCTGAGCGCGGCCGAGATGTACGACCAGGCCAGGGGCTCCATGCCCTACCCCGAGCGGCAGAAGAGGGCCCGCTCCATGATAATCCTCCAGGATTCCTCCCACCTCCCCGTGGAACCCACCGAGATCCCGCGGCCCGGCCCGGCGGTGACGCCTCCGGAGAAGCTCAAGAGGAAGGGCCGGGTCATCGACAACCCCTACGCCAACATGGGCCAGTTCAACGTGAGCCTCTTCGCCCCCACCAAGCCGCAGAGGAAGAAGAGTCCCCTGGTCAAGCAGCTCCAGGTGGAGGACGCCCAGGAACGGGCGGCCTTGGCCATCACCGGCGGCTACTCCTCCCGGGAGCCGTCCCCCACGCGTCGGAGCCACCGCCTGGACTACCAGCACCACCCCGGCATCGCTCAGGTGGAAGCCGCCGGCCTCCCCTTCGCCACCGCCATCGCCGCCGGCGTCATGAAGGACCGGGACCGGCGGCTGGACGAGAGGAGGAAATCCACGGTGTTCCTGTCGGTGGGAGCCATCGAGGGGCCGGCGCCGGGCGGCAGCGAGATGCCGTCGCTGCAGCAGTCGCGCTCCATCGACGAGCGGCTCCTGGGCAGCCGGGATGTCCTCCTGCCGTCCCCCGTGTCAGCTTTAAAGCCATTAATCAGCAGCTCCTCCTCGACCTTCATCCACCCCCTGACGGGAAAGCCCCTGGATCCCAACTCGCCCCTGGCGCTGGCGCTGGCCGCAAGGGAACGGGCGCTGTCCACTCAAGTCCCATCCCGGTCGCCCACCCCGATCCACAGCCCCGACTCGGACAGAGCCGCGCCCCTGTTTGTGGACATCCAAACCAAAGAACCGGACAGGGGGGACTTGGAGAGCTTGGTGTCCCCCGCCTACTCCCCCGGAGGGAAGGCGGTGATGGCGGCCGACGCCGGCGCTCTGACCCCCACCAAGAGCCCCTGGGGGACTCCGACCACCCTGCGGAAGGAGCCCGAGGTGCGAGCGGAGACGCCGGGCAAGGAGGAGAAGAAACCCGAGGACAAGAAGTCCATGATCATCAGCATCGTGGACACGTCGCAGCAGAAGACCGCCGGCCTCATCATGGTCCACGCCACCAGTAATGGTCAAGACGAGATAGGCCTGGAGATCAAAGAGGAGAGCCCGGCCGTGCCCGAGGTCTGCGCCGAGCCGGCCGAGTCCCCCAAGGCCGAGCCCCAGCCCAGCCCCGTGGGGAAGCCGCCGGCCAGCCCGGCCTCGGAGAAGGCGCTGGGCCAGGGCAGCTCGGAGGAGGAGGTGGAGCCCTACACGGTGACCCTCCCGCCGGCCCAGCTGTCCTCCAGCGACGAGGAGACCCGCGAGGAGCTGGCCAAGATCGGGCTGGTGCCGCCCCCGGACGAATTCGCCAACGGGGTGCTGGTGACCACCCCCGGCACCCCCGTGAGCCACCTGGCCGCGCCCGGCGCGCCGTCCCTGCCCGCGGCAGCAGTAGCACCTTCTCCCCCCGGCGCGACACCCTCAGGGAAGCCCTCGGACGCCCCCGCGGCCCCGGAGTCGGCGGCGGACTCGGGAGTGGAAGAGGTGGACACCAGGAGCTCCAGCGACCACCACCTGGAGACCACGAGCACCATCTCCACGGTCTCCAGCATGTCCACGCTGTCCTCGGAGAGCGGCGAGCCCACCGACACCTACACGTCCTTCGCCGACGGCCAAACTTTTCTACTCGAGAAGCCACCAGTGCCTCCAAAGCCCAAACTCAAGTCCCAGCTCAGCAAGGGGCCGGTTACTTTCAGGGACCCACTTTTGAAGCAGTCTTCGGACAGCGAGCTCATCTCCCAGCACCACGCGGCCACGCTGGCGGCCACCAGCGCGGCCCGGCCACGCTACCTCTTTCAGAGAAGGTCCAAGCTATGGGGGGACCCCATGGAGAGCAGGCCCGGCCACGGGGCCGAAGAGGACAAACCAACTGTGATCAGCGAGCTGAGCTCCCGCCTCCAGCAGCTCAACAAGGACACGCGCTCCTTGGGCGAGGAACCGGCCGGCTCCGCCCTGGATCCCGGCAAGAAGTCGCCGGTGGTGGCCGCACGGTAAGAGCCGGGCGTGGCCGGGGCGGGGCCGGGGCGGGTGGCGCTGCTGAGGAGCCGGATGTGGCTTTGAGGGACATCGCGGAGCTTTGGGAGCTCGGTGGAGGGGCCGGAATGTCCGTGGGAGTTGTGGGATGGGCTCCCGGCGCGCCGTGGCTGTGGCTGCTCCCCTCGCTCCGCCCTTCCCGCTGCTCCGTGTCCTCCCCTCCCCGTGGTGACAATGGCGATGCTGTGGTGACAATGGCGATGGTCAGGTGACAGTGGTGATGCCGTGGAAACAATGACGATGTGACAATGACAATGCTGTGGTGACAATGACAATGTGGTGACAATGGGGACGCTGTGGTGACAATGATGATGCCGTGGTGACAATGACGATGTCATGACGACAATGCTGTGGTGACAGTGATGATGTCGTGACAGCGACGATGCTGTGGTGACAATGACGATGTCATGGCGACGCTGCTGTGGTGACAATGACGCTGCCGTAACAGTGACGATGCTGTGGTGACCATGACGATACCGTGGTGACAATGACGACATTGTGGTGGCAGTGATGATGCCGTGATGGCAATGCTGTGGTGACAGTGACGATGTGGTGACAATGACGATGCCATGGTGACAATGCTGTGGTGACAATGACGGCACTGTGGTGGCAATGACGATGTTGTGGTGATGATGACAATGCTGTGGTGACAATGACAATGTGGTGACAATGGGGACGCTGTGGTGACAATGATGATGCCGTGGTGACAATGACGATGTCATGACGACAATGCTGTGGTGACAGTGACGATGTCGTGACAGCGACGATGCCGTGGTGACCATGACGATACCGTGGTGACAATGACGACATTGTGGTGGCAGTGATGATGCCGTGATGGCAATGCTGTGGTGACAGTGACGATGTGGTGACAATGACGATGCCATGGTGACAATGCTGTGGTGACAATGACGGCACTGTGGTGGCAATGATGATGTTGTGGTGATGATGACAATGCTGTGGTGCCAATGCTATGGTGACAATGACGATGTGGTGACAATGATGATCCCATGGTGACAATGCTGTGGTGACAATGACAACGCTGAGGTGACAATGCTGTGGTGGCAATGTCGAGTCCTGGCTCACCCCCTCCGTGATCTCTCCTGGCCAAGCACCAAGGATGGAGTTTTCCGGGGCTTTTCCATTTCTGAGGATCCCCAGGTGTTGTCCCACTCAGGAGGTGACAGAGGTGGCCCATGGCACACCCTGGTTGGGACATGGTGGCACCAACGCCACCCTGGTTCTGCCTCACCCACCCGACCCTAAAAGGATCCCAAACCTTCCACATCAGAGCCCAAACCCTTAAAAAGTTTGGGAATATTAAATCCCAGCAGGAAGTGACCCAAAATTCCGAGTCTTGCCCTGCCTTTTCAGGCGCGGCCCCACAGAGCCGCCATGAGCCGGTGTCACCCGGTGTCACCTGGTGTCACCTGTGGGTGCCAGGGCTCAGCGAGGTGCCAGGAGCTTTGGATCAGGGGCAGCCCTTCCCATGGGAAAAGCTTTTCCAACCAAACCAAAACCATCCTGGCCACGGCTGCTCCCGGCACGTGGCGCTGGTGCAGGAGGTGACATTCCAGGCGGTGGCCTTGGGGACAAAGTGTCCTGGAGCATGCCGGAGTCACTGTGGCCTATCCCAGCAGATCCAAACTGGGAATACTGGGAGGAGATCCAGGGATGTCTCCCTGCCCCAGGGTGTCATTCCCTACGGAGCCAGGTGTCACCCGAGGTCCCCTCCCTCATCCCGAGCCGAGGCCGTTCGGGGATCCTCTGGAATTGAGGCTGTGCCCATCTCCAGCAGCGCCGGAATTTTGGGAATTCTGGGCTTTTACAAGCCCTTTTACCAGGATCCCACGCTGGTTTGGGATTCCCTGCTGGGAATCCTCTGGCTCCCGGTGCCATCAGAATGTCCCTTTCCATGTCCCCATCCCTTCCATCCGTGTCCATCCAATCTCCCGGTTTTCCCCCGGAGCAATTTCACCGATTTCAAGGATCAGCCCTTCTCCATCCTCTCTTCCTGCCTTCCCTGCAATCCCTGCAATTCCCAGGGCTCCATGCCCTGCTCATCCAGCCCCCGGAGCCTCCTGTTTTCCCGCACATCCCGTCCTCACCCCCCGCCGGAATCCGGCCCTTCCAGCCATCCCGCAGAGTCCCACATTCCCGGTTTTTTCCCTTTTGGGAAAGTCACGGCCTTTCATCTCTCGAGTTTTGGGATGTCAAAGGCTTGAAACATTTCCCGGGAAGCCGATGGGGAATGGAATTTTTAATGATGGCAGCCACTCTCCTGCATTGTCCGAGTTCTCCTGGTTTTTTTATGGAATTGCTGTGAACTCAGGGAATAATGGGAGCAGAGTTAGGTAAGAGGAGGTGACCCAGTTTGGGACGCGTTTTCCAGGCTCTGGAATTGTCCAGAGAAGGGAAGTGTCACCTGAATGTCCCTCAGGAGCGGCCGGGAGCCAGAGGCGGCCTGGAATACCGCAGGGATGGGGACAGGGCGGTGGCCTGGAATTCTGCAGGGATGGGGACACTGAGGTGACCTGGAGTCCCCAGAAGGACACGGAGGGGTCTTGGAATTCCACAAGGAACAGGGACACTGAGGTGACCTGGAGTTCCACAGGGATGGGGACAGGGAGGTGGCCTGGAGTCCCCAAAGGGGATGATGAGGTGTCCTGGAATCTGGGAATGGGGACACTGAGGTGGCCTGGAGTTCCAGAGGGACAGGGACACCAATGTTCCCATACCTGATGCCCCCCAGCCCTTCCAGCAGCTCTGGATCCATGGGATTGGTGGAGTGGCTGCCACTCAGGAATCATCCCGGAATTCCTCCCTCCCCACATTCATCCTGAATTCCCAGCAATTCCGTGCAAGCTCAGGGAATTCCCTGCTCCCGAGCAGTCCCCGGCGCCTTTCCCTGACCGATCCCTGTGGGAATGCTCCCTGGGAACCCCGGGAAGCCATGATCCATGGCTTCTTCCCGAGCTCTAACTGCGGCTCTGTCTCCCCCCAAGCCGGGCGTCCACGGAAGGACCTTTGAGCCGAGGGACTGGGAAAGAGCCCAAGGAATTCTGACACTGGGAACGTCAGGTCACAGTTCAGGCCACTGACGGTGACAATCCCGGGACCAGGGACGCCCGGGACGGTGACAATGGCAGCGGAGCAAGGGGACAACTCCCTTCATCCGTGGTGGCCCTTGGTGGCCATGTCCAAGAGCAGCTTCCTCGTGTTTAATCCAAAACCCTGGAATTGTTGAGGTTGGAAAATCCCTCTGATCCCTCCGGGTCCAACCATTCCCAGCACTGCCCCGTGTCCCAAAGTGCCACATCCACACGGCTTTTTAATCCCACCGGGAATTGGGGTTCCACCCCTTCCCTGGGCATCCCATTCCAGCGCTTCATCAACTTCTCGGGAAGGAATTTTCCCAAAAATCCAACTTCACCTCGTGGTGATCCCCTCTTGATCCCTGCCCCGGCTGGAATTCCTGTCCAGGATTCCTGGAGCGGTGGCGGGATCCTGGAAAAGCCCAGGATCCTGGGAAAACCCCGCTGAGCCGCGGGAGAGGCTGGGGATGTGCCGGAGCCGCTCCCGCTGCCGGGAGCCGCGCGAGGCCGAGCGCGTTCCGCGTGTGACATCCGTGTCCCCAATAAAGCTGACGGTGACCGTGACAGGTGTGTGTGTGTCATTGGGGACACGGCCATTCCCGGTATTTTGGGAGCCATGTTCCATGCCTGGAACCAGCTCTGGCTCTGGATTCACGGCTCCAGCGCTCCAGGCGGCATTCCCGCAAAATTGCCGCAACATTCCCGTCCCGTGTCCCCGCCCAGCCCTGCCAGGCTCCCGCCATCCATAATCCCAATTGGATCCATCTTCCCAACCTCTGGGACTCACCAGGAGCATCCCAAACATGCCAAAAAGCTTTTGTCTTCTCCAACCGATTGATCACGGTTTAATTCCCAGGAATTTGGGATGTGGAGGGCCCAGGATTTGTCCAGGTCATTCCCAGCTAGAGCTTTGTATTTTCCTCTGGAATTTGGAAGGAGGCTCCAAGTCCAGAACTGTGCGAGCTTTGCCCATCCCAAGGGTTTTTCCAGTTAAATCCCAGCCACAGATTTCCCAGAGTTTTCCTTGGCATTGATAAATCTCCAAGGCAGATTCCAGGAGAGTTCCAAGGTTTTGGGGCTCCGGAGCCAGGCCAGGGGGAGCTTTTCCAAAGGGACCTGGCTCCTGGGGACTTCCAGGAACATCCCATTGGTCCTGGTTGGGGGCTCTGGATCCAAGCTCAGGGAAGCTTTGCCAAGGACTCCCAATGATTCCCCAGGAGAATTCCAAATGTCCCAGTTTGGGGCTCTGGATCTGAGCTAAAGGGAGCTTTTCCAACGGGTTCTGGGGACTCCCAGGAACATCCCAAATGTCCTATTTTGAGGCTCTGGATCCAGATTCGGGGGAACTTTTCCAAGGAGTTCTGGCCCCTGGGGACTTCCAGGAGCATCCCAAGTGTCCCAGTTTGGAGCTCTGGATCTGAGGGAAACTTTTCCAAGGGGTTTTTTTTTCGTGTCTTTGCTCGTGCCTTTGTTTCTCTTTAACCCCAAAAAGGCTCCTGGGAAGCAGAATTCGAGCTTCCAAAGGGAGCATTTCTGGTGCTGCTCTGCAATTCCATGAATTCCTTTGTATTCCCACAGATCTGAGGGAGAAGGAGAAGAAACTTGAGCCCTTTGGGGTTTTAGTTCCTTTTAGGGTAAAACTGCCTCTTTTTCTCTGATCCTAAATGAATTCCGTGTCCCGGAAATGGTGTCACACCCCAGCAAAAGCTTGGGAAAGCACCCCCTGTTTCCTTGTAGGCCTGGGGGCTTTCCTGGGGAAATTCCCCTGGGAAGCAGGGATTTGGGATGAAAATTGAGCAAATTGGCTGTGGGGAGGGAAGGAGAAGGGGGATTGGGATCGCTGAGCGAGGGAGGGTGGGAATAGA